GTTCTCGGCTCACAGCAGGGCCCGGGACCAGAGTACATGCAGGCGTCTGGGGTCAGTGTTTGAGGTGGCTTGGCAGGACTGTGTGGGAAGGAGGTTTGTGGAGTATCAGTTTCCAGTGTTTGGCTGGGGCTGCCTCCCATTCACTCTTGTCTCTAGAGGGAGGACGTGGTCTTGCGAAGCCACATGCAATCTTTGGATAACAATGAGACATAAACAATACGGATAATCTCACCAGCAGTACACGGGCCTCTGGTCCCTGCTGAGGGCCTTGAGCAGTGGCTGGAGCACTGGTGAAGGGGGCTGGGAGTGCAGTTCCCCCCCTCCCAGCCTCATTCCTCCATCCCTCTTCTGCCTAATCTCTTGTGAAGGGAAGAGCTACAGGATTGCCCTCAGACGGGTTGGGAGCTCTCAGGGACCTGTGATGCTGTCCCTCATAGGCAGTATGGGATGGGCCCTGGCATGAGGAGATCTGGATTCCATGCCTGGCTCTGCTACTAACTAGCCATATGTCCATGTCCAAGCAACTTAGCCTCCTGAGCTCCAGGTCTTCATTTCTTACTTGAGAAAGATGGTAGGTGTCCTTGGAGGTCTCTCTAACTCCAGAGTCCTTTGGCCAAATCAGTTCACTCTTCTGAAATTCACTGTGCCCATCAGCTGGCTCTGCTTTGAGCTGTCAGCATGGGGATGTTGAATGGGACCACGGAAGTCTGATGCTTGGTGAGTAAAGTTACCAAAGACTTACATTTGAAGTCTCTTTTACTTTCCAGAGTGTCCCTGATTCTTCTCCTTATACACCACTTGTATAAGTCTAGAAGGCAGAGAGGTTCCAGATATATCCAGTTCTAGTTCAATTTAGTTGTGTTTTATGAGCACTAGAATGAGTTTGTGCGGATACATTAGGTGTCTAGGAAAGGGAGCAGTGATCTGCAAATGCAGTGAGGATTGAGGCTGCTGATAGGAATGGAGAAGCTCTCCTGCAAAGTCTTTGTAAAATTCCTGATCAGGTAGAAACTTGAATAACTTTAGCTGCTGGCGTGAGAAAACGACTCATAAATGACACTTAAGTGTATTGAATTATTCTCTCAAAACTGAACTACGTTTAAATTCTGTTGACCAAAGGTCACCAGTTACTTTCTGAGCTATGGTTACCAATTTTTAGAAATTGGTCGCAGGATCCAAACAGAACCAACTGGGTATGTATGTGTTTTGACACTGCAGTCATGAAGCTGTCATTTTAGTTGTGTAGAGCTAATCCCCATAGTAATGGCTGACATCTATTGAGCAGTCCCGGTTCCAGGCACTATAGCAGGGACCTTACATACCTTATTTCTAATCCTCACAACAGTCCTGCAGTATTTCTCATCCTCCTTATTTAGATAAAGAAACTGAGGCTCATTTGGTTAAGTAACCTGCCCAACATCCCACAGCTGTAAAATCCAGGTTTCAAATCTTAATTTGTTTTTATTTGAAACCCATGCTCTTTCCATTCCCCAACTTTGCTGTAAAGAATTCAAGTGCGGGGCAGAATGGAAGTCAGTTGGAACTATAGAACAAGGAGACTCTTTTTTTTTAAGCTCGATCTATGTTTACCTCCAATTTTAGATTCCTGGGTTAGTAAAAAGAGCTGCATTTGGTGATGGTTCTGCTTAGGGGTTTTCAAATATTTGTTTTTTCTTCAGGAGACATAGCTAGTCACACTAGCTAATATTTCACATCAGCTCGCATAATTTTCTTTTTATGAGAAGATAACAATATTACACGGCATGAAAGGAACATAACTAGATGTTAGCACCACAAAATTGCATTCCAGCTTTTATTTTCGTTTAAAACAAGTTCCATTTGAGGAGAATGGAGGAGAAGTATACTTTGCTGGAGGGAACTAATGTCTCCACATTGGGAAACAATTTTGCATTAGTTAGTGTAAGGTTGGGCTGTAACTCATAGAACCTCTAAAATCATAATGACTAAACAAGGTAGAATTTTATCTTTCACATAAAAATCCCAGAGAGAGCCCAGGGCTGTTATGACACTCTATGAGGCGAGGACCCACTTCTCTCTTGATACTCTGCTGTTTCTGGCCTTGACTTTGACATCAAGGTCTAAGATGCTTGTATCCATGTTCCAGGCAGCAGATTAAGGGCAGGGAAGAAGATGAAGGGGCCAAAGGCTCAGAAGATGAAGGCTGCCTTTGAAAAGGGTTGCCAGAAACTACTTCACAACACTTCCACCTACACCCTCCTGACCAAAGATTGTGTTATCATTGCACTTAACTGCAGGGGAGATGTAGTTTTCATTCTGGATGGCCATATGCTTAGTTAAAAAATGAACAAAATGAGAATTGATGTCAGGGGACACCTAGCAGTCTGCCACCAAGGCCATGGGATTTAACCCTGGCCGTCCCAACCCTTTCTTTGAACATCTGCAGCCACTTAACGGACATTTGTTGCACACTTGAGCCACCCATTCTAAAGTTAGAAAAAAAGGGTTCATCATAATTGAAAAATAAAGACAAAACATAATATATTAAAATCAGTAATAGTCATGATTTCATCTTAGTGAGAGGGATGGTACTGTTTGCCATCTTTCACCAAAGTCATTGTTTCTGGGGCTATGATGGAGAGCTGGGGGTGCAGGTCAGCTTCACAGGTGGTTTCTTTTCTTACTTTTTATTTTCACTAAATTAGAAAAGCTTAAATTACAGTTAGAAATAGCAGCAAGTGATTGATGACTCTGTCTAGTAGTCCTGGAAATCACAACCATAGATGGCCAGAGAAATTGGGGAAATTTCTTGCTGAAGGCCCATCCAGTGTTTTGTCAGAACTATGTTCACTTGGAAGCTGGAAGGTTGAGTGTTTCGCCTTGGGACTGCCTCATAGATTCCGTATGCATCTTTTGATTTGATTTTAGTCTGAAAAGCACATCTTTATGTTCTGTTGCAACCCTTGGATGTGGTTTTCAACTATGCTCAGTAACATGTCATGTCTGTCTCTGATGAGAGAAGAAAACTGCCAGTAGAGCATAGACTGCCTAGATTCAAATACTTTTTTTTTTGTTTATCACACTATCTGTGTAACTTTGGACAAATTATTTAAGTTTTCCCTGCCCTAGTTTCCTCAACTGTAAAATAGAGATAGTGATAGTACCCACCTGACAGAGTGGCTGTGCATAGTCTATGAGCTAAAGCACATAACCACCCAGCTCCGTCCTGGCACATGATATGAACTCAGTAAATGTGGATTGTGGTTATTGTTATTATTTTCGGGTATTTGCAAACTCTTGACTATACAAGACTTTCATACCACAGCTCAATCTTCTTGTGAAATCCTGGTTTATTCTTCATTCTTTTCATTCATAAATCATAAGATTTCACTCTTGAAATGGGAGTAGGTTCCAGATGTTTGAATTACTGAATTTATTGTGGAGCCACCATTCACAATCATAGAAATAGTCTTCATTTGCATTAGGAGCATCATAAAATGTCTTAGGTTATTCATCATTTCAGACGCGGATGTGAGCACCGTCATAGTCAGTGCACTTCAGTGGGGAGTGCAGTCTTCTGCTGGCCACCTATTTCTCTGCCCGGCACTCTGGAAAGGCAGACGGTCAGAGGCTGTGTGTGGAGGGCTCCCACTATTATCTTCAACACTAAACCATGACCAGAGAGCGTATTGTTGAGCACCAGCTGGTCTTTGTGAACGAAGCTGGGGAACGATTTTCAAAAGGGACAACTGCCTATATGTGAGGAGTGACACTTTTGCTCAGTACTGTTGTCTGTGCATCCTGCTTCACAAAATACACAGTAATCCAATGAAAACCTCCTTTCTTCTGGAGCATGAGTTGTCAAGGGGTGAACAGAACAAGAAGCTGCGAGCACACTCAGTAGGACCGATTCCCAGTCCGCCCCTCAGTGGCATCATCCTAATGTAAATGGCATGTTAGCCAGCACACCAGTGCCTTCCCACTGCAGTGCATGGCTTTTTTGGGATTTCCAGTACTCAGTTGATGAGGGAATTTTGCTGTCAGTTTGTTCTGCTTGATTTGTAGACACAATGTTTGTGATTAATTTTGCAGGTAGTTTTAGAAGCTTCTCAATAATAATGGGGCTTTTGCCTGTTTTCCCTACTTGTTTTGGTCTCCTTTCTTTCTTTAGTGGTAAAATTAATTAAAAATATTTTTTTATCTGTATGTGCTTATTATGAAAAAATTTGAGGTTTTATTTGAAGATGAGAAGAAACTGATGGCTTCATGTCATAATCTGACCAATTTTTGTGACAGACACTGCGACCAGGGCCAAATGGATTGCTGAGTCAGTAAGACCTAATTTTCAAATACTCATCACTACATTTCCTTTTCTTACTTTTCGTTTTTGGGTGAAATTAATGCACTCACGGAATCACTTGTCCTGGGACATAGATTCATATTCTATATTGACACAGGAGCCCTGTTCATGATTTGAGCTTATGATATTATTCTGAGTTATACTATTTATATTATTATTTATATCATTACTTTTAGGCTTAGGTGAAACACTTTTGTGATTTGAGGCCATGACAGCAAAATAGTAGAACAAGAATACAAACTAAGCAATGAAAATATGTGAATGTAGACAAGTTCCAGGCTGTTCACCGAATGGTAGCAGAGGTAAACTGACTAACTGCTATTGAGAGTCTAATGGGATTTCTGAAAATCATAATTGCTTACATTTCAAATCTGTGAACACAATGTTTTTAACTTTTCTTTTCCTCTGAAGCCACTAAACCTCCAGGGACCACACTTTGGGAACACTACCCTGTGTTTTTTGATGAGAGCATTTCTGGAACAGGAGTGGTGAATGGGGTATAGGCGGGAGGGGACTGGCCCTGGTGAAGTTTAAAGAGAACAAAAACCAGAAACTAAAGAAACAGCAGGTCCAGGCTTCTAGTTTGGGAGATTTGAGGGGCCAGGAATTTAAACTATGTCCTTGTAAGTGTTTCCATTTCTTCTTCTTTTGTACCTTACAGAGTAAAAGCCAGGGATCCATCTTCGTCCGGATACACGCCCCGTGGCAGGTGCTGGCCAGAGAGGCAGAATTTTTGAAGATCAAAGTTCCCACCAAGAAAGTATGAACATGTTTCTTTTGGGTGTGCGGGCCTCCTGAGGGCTGGATGGGAACAGGGGTGGGTGGGACGTTCGTTCTGTGAAGTTGAAATCCCTCCTGCCTCCCAAGGACCCTAAGTGTGGGGCAATGATGTAGGTGGGATGGGGAAGAGATGTGGGGTGAGGAGAGGAGCTGGGTTTGGGAGATCTTTTCACCTCAGAGGTCCACCTGGGATGTGCTCCATGAGAAGCCAAACGTTGCCGTGGTCCAGCTTCTTGATTTCTCTGTTGTATGTCTTTTCTCCCTCTTCTTGGGGGTCCCAACACTGCCAGGCATTTCTTTAGAGTGAATGTAGCAAGGAGAGCAGACAGTAAGCCGTGCTGATCGGGTCAGCAGCGTGTGGGGAGAATAGCACCAAACTTGCCATGAAGACACCTATTCCTGTTGTGACTCTGCCACGAAGTATTGTGTGATGGTGGGTTTTGCTGGTCTCTTCTGTAGAACAGAAAATTCTTAATCAGGCGAGTTGATCAAAATCATCTGGGGAGTGTTTTCAAAATGTCCATGCCAGTGTCTCACCTCTGGGATTTTGATTCAGTTGGTTGGTATGGAATGAGGTTCTGGCATCAGTATTGTGAAAGAAATTCCACAGGAGGTTCTGATGCACATCTGGGTTAAAAGCTACACAGTTTAGGTGATTTTTGTGTGTGTGTGTGAGGAAGATCAGCCCTGAGCTAACATCCGATGCCAATCCTCCTCTTTTTGCTGAGGAAGATCAGCCCCAGGCTAACATCCATGCCCATCTTCCTCTACTTTAGATGGGACGTCGCCACAGCATGGCTTGACAAGCGGTGCATTGGTGCACGCCTGGGATCCGAACCTGCAAACCCCGGGCCGCTGAAGTAGAGCACATGCACTTAACTGCTGCACCACCAGGCCGGCACCCAGTTTAGATGATTTTTGAGGTTCTTTTCAGGCAGTATGGTCTATGTATAACTTAAAAATCTCCCCAGGGAATTCCTAGGTGATAGTCTTTTTGTAAAGCAAAATCCAGTAAATATCTCCAAGAAGAAAGGAAAGGTATCTACAGATTCACCATTTTTTTAATTAGGCATTTTAGGGCCAAGGAATGGCTATTGACTGTGATCATTTGAGACGTCTCTAGCAGAGTCCTGGGGCAGATGATCTAGGTCAAACTCTAGTTTAACCATGGGTGATCTATGGGTGATCTCTCTGTCTCTGTCTGTCTGTCTGTCTGTCTCTCTCACACACACACACATCCATAGTGTCATTTCACAAATGGTAATCTAGCTTTGAGGAGATCATCTTCATCATTCTAACTCCCAGTACCATAATTTCCACCCTCTCCATTATTCACAGAACTCCATAGTTGTTGCCTTCTGCAGCACCACTGTTATCACCTGCCTTCTCATCGCCGTCTTCACCGTCAGTAGCATTGTTACAGTCAGCAACACCATCTTGATTAGCATCATTGGCTATGCTCACACCATCTTCACTACCCACAGATCTACTGTCCCCATCCAAGATCACTCATCAAATACCATCAAGTGTGATGCCAACACGAATCTCCTACTCAAGAGGGATCAAGACTGTGGGTTCTGTTCTTATAGGTTTGTTAAGATGGATAATACCTCCATGGCAGTTGATAAATGATTATGAAACAATGAACAAACACAGACATGAATAGTACCTACAAACATTTTGCCAACAAAAGGTAGATGTTTTGGGGTCACATGCCTGAGTGTCTTGGCTTCCCAAGCACCACAGTGATCTTTTCTCCTTCAATTGCACTGCTGTGTTCTTTTGTCTCCTAGTTTTAGATCTCTTACTCCTAATACCACTGTCCTCAAATGCAGGCGTCCTCTTTGTTATGAGCTTCCGCTCCTCCTCCACTAATGTTCTCCCAGTCCTCTGGCAACAAGACCAAGTCTTAGCCTTGGATGGAAGCTTCTGCTTCCCTCTGGTGGTGTCCTAACTTGGCCAACCCTTTCGCTTCTCTTTCTTCTGTCTTCCTTCTAACTTCAATATATATTTCTTCCACGTTCTCTGGTTTATCTGAATATCTAGTGTTCTTTTAATCTCATTCTGTTTGTACCTTGCTTCCTATGTTTTTATCGCTGCTGGCTGATCCTTGGAAAGAAGGTGAGCAAAACTCTAAGGCCCACGCTATTTCTTTTATCCTCCCGGCTGATCCTTTTAGCAAGAAATCTAGAGACATAGAAGTGTGCATCCTTCTACTCTCCCCTCTTTGCCTCTTTTTCTTCCTTGCTCTCCTCCTTCTTCTTTCACTTTCGTGCTCTTCCTTCCCTTCTTCCCTCTCCCTTTCGCCTCCCTCCCCTGATGCCTTCTCTTGGCCTTCCTCGCTGTTCCTGGGACATTTTACCACACCCCTCAATTCTCTACCACCTCTTCTCCTCCTCATTCTCAGATTCAGCCCCAAGGAGTGCCTGCCTCTGGTCCCCCTAGTCTCTTCTTGTCCTTTCACAAGCTCATATCTTTGAGAGCATGGTTCTGCTGAAATGACATGTCTGCCCTCAGAGTTTATGTGCCCCCATGCATTTAGCCTATTGGAACTTACCATCTGTCATTTGGGTAGTACCTGCTCTTGAATTTGTAGATGACATGATCAGGACAAGGACGTACTATAACGTAGCCATCTCTGAGTTTCCCTTCTCTTTCTTCTTTGCATTTATTTTTTTTAATTCAAATATATTTGACATATTACACATGTAAATTTAAGATGTACAGCATGTTAATTTGATACATTTATATGTTGTAATATGATTGCTATTGCAGTAGTAATTAGCACCTCTATCATGTTGCATAGTTATTCTTTCTTTTTAGTGCTTGGAATAATTAAGTTCTAGTCTCTTAGTAAGGTTGATGGTTATAATACAATACTGTGTCTATATTCACTATACCGAGCATTAGATGTCTAGGACTTATTTACTACTCGTTGTGAGTTTGTATCCTTAAATAATATCTGTCTGTTCCCTACCCCCATTCCCTGGTAACCAGCATTTTACTCTCTGTTTTTAGAAGTTTGGCTTTTGAAATTCCACATATGTGAGATCGTACAGTACTTTTCTTTCTCTGTCTGACTTGTTTTACTTAGCATAATGTGCTCAAAGTCCATCCATGTTGTCACAAATGGCAGGATGTCCTTCTTTCTCATGGGTGAACAGTATGCCATTGTAAATATATATCTCACATCTTCTTTATTCATTCATGTGTTGATGAGCGCTTAAGTTGTTTCCACGCCTCCTTCCTTTTCAGTTTGGTGGCATAGGGTGGGAGACACTGCCCTAGACGAGTCCTCAGAAGACCAGACTTCTAGCCTTTGTTCTGCACTTATTTGCTGTGGGATGTCACTTTGTCTTTCAGAGCCTCAGTTTCCTCACCTATGATATGGGCATAATAATACTTGCCTATTTTTCTTAGAAGGTTGTTACAAGAATCCAATTCTTAACAAGTACTATGGAAATACAGGATTTTATTATTGTGTCTGTCTTCTCAAATATTTTTATGTGTACTCTCAATTCCTGTTCCCCCAATCAACTTCCTTCTTGATGGAATAGGCAGCCAACATCAGTGGAGTTCCTAATGTAAGAGAGTCTTTCAAGAGACACTGAAGGACGCAGAAACCATCCATGCCCTTAGAGAGCTTATAGTCAAAGGGCACAACAGGAAAAATGCACGTACTCAGACATCAAAGCACTAATTAAATACTGTGTCAAATAGCAACTGGTTAGCACAGAACAGATTCTGCATGTAGATATGGTGGGCCAGGGAGGCTGGGGAGAGCAAAGCCAGGTGGTGGCTCCTACAAGACTTCAGATCTAACAGAAAGAACTTTTCCCCAAAGTTTCTGGGCCCCAGACTCAACACAGGCAGGCTGTTCTGGCATCCTTCTGCAGGTTCAGCCACGTGGCCCTAGATCTTCTTTGTATTCATAGAATGCACTGGCTTGCAGTCGATCTCACAGAGGGTGTCATAACCAGGAGCGAGGATATAACTTGGTACGCTGGGTAGGGTGTATATGTTTGTAAAAATTAATCTTACAACCTGATCCCAGGGGTAGCAGTGGGCGTTAAATCCAGTTCCTGAGAAGGGAAAGGAGCATGGAAGGGAGGACAAGACAGGGTAGTCTGTAGAGGGCTAGTGTTGGGTCCAGTGGCATTTGTCTTCTGTTTTAATGGGTTTAGGGAGTGACTACAGTGAGAATAAACTACATTTGAAGAGAGCCACATCCTCGCGGCAGGGGGAATGCGGAGGAAGACTGAGGCATGGTGTGGGATCAGTTAAGCATCCTCCAGGCCAATGGAGGTTTGTGTCATAACTCAGGGGTCCAGAGAGACCAGGAAGATGGGGAGGAAATCACAAAATCGAGGTCTCAAATCCGGACAAATCCATAGTAATGCATCCAGGGACTCGGAGTTCTGAGCACAGATATTAACTGGAAGGGGACTCTTGGAAGGAAGCATTTGTTTTCCAAAAACAACAACAGAAGAGCCAGAGCTGTGTGAGGGACACTCAACATCCATGCACAGGAAGGGGTGGGGAGGCCTGGCCTTTGGCCCCGAGCAGCTTGGGAAGGTTTGAAATGGGTGCTTTCTCACCTCTGCTCATTACCAAGGTGGCCCTTCTAGATTGTGGTCAACATCCATGTTTATTTCTCATTCACTTTTTTATATGTATGAATGAACATCCCCCTTTCTCACCGCTTACATTCGCTTATTCTCCGAGTGCTGCCTCCGGCAGAGACAAGGCCGGGAATGGACAAGGGGGAGAGAACTGAGTCCATTCTTGTCAATAAAATCATGTTAATCCACCCAGAGTCCACTAAATTTGGAAAAAGTGACGTGTCTGGGATGGGTGAAAATCACTTTTGTCCAATCAGTGAAAGCTGTTGTAGCTGTTATTAATAGAGTGGCTGACAGTGTGAGGGTCACGTTTGTGTTCCCAGGAGCCTGTAGGGACTGTAGCTTATGAGTCCTTTGC